TTTTTTTCTCTGTGATTTTGACATGTAAATTTCTTTTGTAGTTTCTGATTCTTGTGTGTGACTCACACCTTCAAGTTTAGGTCTGCTTCTTTTTGTGAACTTTATGTGTATTTGTGGTTTACTTTTTAGGCATGAAAAGCTGGTTCGTCTAAGCTTCCGGTTCTCTCTTTTGACTTTATATTGGCGTGGCCGGATTGCTTTTGTCTTCAGGAGTTTCCACAGCAGCCCAATTCAGGTGATGGTCAGATGTTTTCAGGCTTTCTCCTATGGTCTGGATCCCTCCAGGAACGATTTTGGCCTCAGGAATTTTGGGATTGGACTGGCCTGGGAGCCTGACCCAGGAAGATGCTGGTCTAGGGCAGCTGGTGGCTGTGCCACCCAGAGATGCAAAGGCAGATGGGGCCGGAAGAGGCCCCAATGACTCCTGGGGACTGCACTGAGGAGCTGTGTTGGTCTGGATGCAAAGGATCAGGAAGAGGAAAGGTCAGCCCCTGAGTCCCAGAAAGAGGCTCCTGGTGGTGCAGGCCCAGGGAAGCAGAGGGAGGTGAGGGCGGAGCCAGGCCCAGAAGCAGTGCTCCTGGGGCCCAGAGAAGGCACTACATTGGTCTGGATGAAAAGGAGCAGGAAGCAGTGTTGGTTCCCCAGGTGTCTGGGGCCTGAAGGCAAGGAATGGGTAGGACTCAAATTAGGAGAGACTGGTGGGGGAGATGGGAGGGTGAATGAGAGTGGGGGAGTCAAGGTCCAGAGGGCGTGATGGACTTACCCTGGAATGAGGCCTGCTGGTAGGAGAGAGGCCTGGGGCAGGTCTTTCAGGACCAGGGATGCAGAGGGCAACCCTAATTTAAACCCAAAGAGTATTTTTCATAGGTCTTGGGAGATCAATAAAAATTTATGTAAAGAAAAATATATGGGTGCACTTACATACATGCAGGCAATACACTCATACACATAAAATAAAAATACATAAATATTAAAAAATGTATGTAAAATTGCTAAAGAATTGTGTACATTTTGCAAAAGCAATGAGGTGTGGGACTAGTATTAAAGTATGTTTGTCTTAGGTCAAGTGCCCTACAAACAGAGCCAATGATACTGTTTGTTCAGGTAATTTTTCTTTAGGTGGCAGAGTTGGGGAGAGAATGTTTTTTTGAGATAAGAAAGTCAACAAGAGGAAAATGTTAAATAGTCCTGTGGTTTTAGATAGAAGTTTCCTTCTCTAGAGAGAAGTCTAGAGCTATGAGCTATGGGAGAGGATGGTGATCCATCAGTCTTCTGCTCTAGGGCTTGCTTATTTCATCTCCTCACTCAGTGGTACCAACATATTTTCCACTACTGGGTCAGTTTTGAGACTAAAAAGAAGAGACTGATAAAGTAGAAGAAAAGGAGGAGCCTGATCATTTGGAGTTGTGATGACAAAGGAAACCTGGAATGGGAACATGCAGCCAGATGGAAGTATTTCAGTGTCCACTGGATTACATCAGCAGCAGTTTCTGGTTGATGACAATGGCCAATACATGACTGTGTGAAAGGTCACTAAAGGGGAGTGAAGGCCAGGAAGGTGAGAGATGCCAACCAGATGGATGGTGGAAAGCACAGAGTGGTGGACACAGATGGACAGGGAGGCCATTTGCAGGGTACCAGAGGAAAGGATAGGACAGCTAGTGGTGATAATGTCCAATGGGGTCCATTGAAGGAAATTGAAGGAAAAATGGCTTAGGCAACAGCAAGATGGAGAATCAAAATGGACCATGCTTCCTTATCCCTGGACAGGAGTGGCTGTTCTCAGAAAAGACTCTATGCTATTTTTGATCCTCAGGGGAAAGCCAGGTTTCTGGGCAGAAGCAGAGTGGCAGAAGGAAGTTTTTCCAGAAGCATCTTGGAAACAGCTGCACCGTGGGACTAAGAGTCTAGGGCCACAGAGAAAGTTAGAGAACATCAACTGACAGAGATATTTAAGAAATGTGATTGTGACCTCACACAATTTTATGCCAGGAAAAACCCCCAACATTTCCACTGAGGGTTAATTCTACAACTGTTGATTTTTTTCCTAAACCTTCAATTTGCATATTTTCAGGGAAAATGAAAAAAAAGAAGTTAATTAAACCCTGCTTTGAATTTGCTTAGAAAGCTCCAATAAATGTTTTAAAGAATAAAATAGCAAATTGTGAATATTGGTGGGTACATACATGAGGTGTGCCTTAAGGCTGCGCCTCTAAGGAGGCCCTTCTTCTGGCTGACTGGAGATGTGATGCCCTTCCAGGAGCAGTCAGTTGCTTAGCAACAATGACAAATCCTCACACCCTTTATGGAAGACTGCAGCTGAGACCAATCCTCATTGTTTCCTTTGTTCTTTTTATGAACTAGTAGAGCCAGTAAGAATGTTTCAGGGTTAGCAGGAAAAACTGGACTTTGGAGGCTCAGTTTCCTACTAAGCTTTTCCACCTTTGTAGTATCGCTTTCCTGAAACCTGTGGGGGTTGTTGAGTGTTCACAAAGTATGAGCACTTAGCCTAATGCCTGGTATGCACATTAAAATTAGAATGACTTCTTTTTTAAAAAATATTTTTGTTTTATGTGTATGAATGTTTTGCCTGCATGTATGTAAGTACACCACATGTGCCTGGTACTCTTGTAGGCCAGAAGAGGTTGTCAGGTCCCCTGGAACTGGAATGAAGGATGGTTGTTAGCCATCATGTGGGTGCTGGGAACCAAACCCTGGTCAGCTACAAGAACAGCCAGTGCTCTTAACCACTGAGCCATCCATCCAACCCCAAGACTTTTAAATTAATGTACAGAATGCTTGGGAACAAGAGTGTATGTATGTGTGTTTGTGCATGTGTGAGCATATGTGTGCATGTGTCTATTTGTGTGTATGTGTGTTTGTTCTGTGAGTACATGTGTTTGTGCATTTTCATTGTGTGTGTATGACTGTGTGTGCATGTTTGTGTGTGTACATGTGCACATGTGCCTGAAATTTTGAAGCCGCCTATAGCTAGTGGTTCTTCTCTTTTTGCTGTTTAATGCCCAGCTGGGCAAATGTTCTTTAATTTTCTTCTTTGTGTTTGGCACCACAAAATGATGCTGCTTAAAAATAGGGTTTATTACAGAGAATGGCTTGTTAGGATCCAGGACTGTTGATCTGTGTGAAATAAAGTATGTTTTTAATTAATGCCTCTATCAAGTTGTGTAAACCAGTGGTTCTCTACCTTGGCTGTGCACCCTAATCGCCTGTGGTGCTTTAAAAATTTGATGCTGGTTTTCACCTCAAAGAGGATGATTCTTTTTGGGTTAGGGCTTGGGCATAGATTTTTTTTTTAAAGTTCCTCAGAAGATTGTAATATACTTCCAGGGTGTAAAAAAATCTCTGCTCCAAACGTTTTTCTCCCAGAGACTCCCTTGTATCCTTTAAGGATGGGCCCTCTCGTGGGTTTTGCCCTGCCTATGGCCCATGATTCATTTGATCTGGCCATTTTAAGTGTGCCCTATAGTTCTGGTTTGAGCATCTGCCTTCAATGTTGCTTTGTTCACTAGTTGGTTTGGATGTCTTTATGCTTGTTTTCCAAAAACAATTTCTAAGGCATATTGTAGAGGTTGGAACTCTAAGTCTACTTCCTGTATGTCTCAAGTACATACTATGTGAGTTATGGTTAAAAATGTAGTTACTGATAATTTCAAGTACATGACCTCAGAATCACAAGGAAAATATAAGGAATTAAGCTGTCAGTTTTTATCATAAACCTTGTATGCTATTCATTAGGGAAATTATCATTGAGAAACCAAAGGCTGTTTCACTGGAAATACAAACTGTAATGACTAGGGAGAGGCAGACTGAGAAGCTATAAATTAAAGACCTCAGCTACTCATTTTACATAGGCTCCCTGGCTGCTTGTCCAGCCACCTCTGTCTCTTCAAGAACCAGGTAAGTTCTTCCTCAGCTCCAACTTAAGACTCCTGTGTTTTGAGAATATGGCTGATTGTTGATTTGAAATAAATATATTTTATTGTGCATAAGATTTTCCTTGAAATAGTTTTATTTATTTCAGTGCCTAAATGGCCATGGCACTTTAGCTCTTTCATTTTGTTTGATAGTAAGTTAACTCATTTTATTTCTTAATTAATCTGCAAAGTGTTCCTGTAAGGAAACTGGGTAGATGTGGGATGCCTTGGCTATCAGAAATTTTATCCTTGTTTTAGAATTCTTTAATAGCTTTTATTAAATAACTATAAAGTATCTGGTGATAAAACAGAAAGCATATTCATATTTTACTTATTTTTTGGTGGATATTAAGTGCTCTTTAAAAGTTATTTTTTTCCATATAATAAAAGTTATATTAGTCCATTGAACAAACCTGAAACAATGCAAAAAATTATAAAAATTAAAACGCTTCCATCTATAACTTAATCTACAACTTAGAGATATTACCACTTAGGAAAAAAAATTCAGCCCAAAGCTCTTTCATTGGAGTTAGAGATTGGGAATTAAGACACTCTGTCCTGCTACTCTGGACTGGATTTGGATCTATTGAGAAATGAAAAGTGTCAGATAAGGATGTAACTGTTGCCATCCTAATTAATCTGGATTGGAGAACGCTGCTTGGATTTGAGGCCAGTAGAGATTCCTACACTTTCAGATCCCTGCCTTGCCACAAGCTGAACAGCTGGGCAAGCTGGACTTTGGCAGGTCAGGCGGAGGCTGTGAGAGGCAGAATCAAGCAGATTCTGACTAAATAAATAAGAGGAAAAAAAAAAAAACCCATTAAGGCATTACTCTGCTATCTGGGGAAATGAGAACTGAGAAGTGCTGGGCCAAGCAGACTCCAGCTGACTCATGTCTCCTGTCATGGGAAAAGGGAGAAGCAGATAACAGTGACCTTGTACTGAGAGGGGTCAAAATCTCAGTTTTCTGGATTAATGCAGGAGTAGTTCTCATGACAGAAAGCAGACCAATCCAAATGTTCTGTGCTGGTTGTTATTACTTTTCTAGATCTCACTGAAATCATCATGGAATCACTAGGAACAGCAACTACTCAATTGGGGTTTGATCTTTTCAAAGAGCTGGAGAAAAAAGATGATGGCAACATTTTCTTTTCCCCTGTGGGCATCTCAGCAGCCATTGGTATGATACTTCTGGGGACCCGAGGAGCCACTGCCTCTGAGTTACAGAAGGTGAGAAGTTTCCTTTGTTTTCTAGGCATAGATTTGTTTTTGGGGCTCAGCCCTCTAGCATTGTTTTGAGAATATGCTCACTTTGACCTGTTGGCCAAGAAACAAAGACTATGAAGATGTGGAGCAATTTCAGGTCTATCAGGGAAATCGTCTTTTCTCTCCAGATACCGTCATGCCATCTTCTCCTCGATACATGGAATTCCTTTGTGTGTCAGGTGAATGGATGGCTATGTCCAAAGCTATTAACCTCATGATTAAAGTTAGAGCAGGAAACGAAAAAACTCCTGGGAGCAGTGATGTAATTTTTAATTGATATAAATGATACATCAAAGATGAATGTCTAAGTAAGTCCATGACTAGACCTCCTTGAAGAGATCAGTGGGCAACACAGACCTGAAATTTCAGGGAGAGAATGCTACCTGTATACCATTGAATCTGCTTTAAACAAATACCAACTTTCCCCCATGTGAGGTTTTTTTGCTGTTCTAACCACTACAATAATATTTTTTTCTCTTCCAGGTGCTTTACTCTGAAAGAGACACAGAAAAATCCAGAATAAAGGCTGAAGAAAAAGAGGTGGGAAGCATGTTTTACATTCTTTAGTGTGGTCTTTTTTAGGTGTAGGATCTCTGGAGAAAAGTATCAGGAAAAGCATGAAAGAGGTAGCACACCACAATTATTAAGAAACAATCACTGGAGCCAAACAATATTAGTCCATTTTCTTTTGCTATAACAAAATACTGAGGATGGGAACTTTATGAAGAAAATAACTTGCTTATATATCTCATGGTTTTGAGGGCTAAAAGTCCCTGATTGGGTGGCTTTATCTGTTTGGCTTCCAGTGAGAGTCTTATGGGACCATTATAATGTAGTGGAGAAAGGGAGTGAGCACCTGCCACATGCAGACAGCGCCAAGTTCATGGGCTGGTCTTACTTTATAAAATCCCACTCTCATAAGAACTAACTGCCAGAAGAGCATTAATCTTTTCTGAGGGCAGTGCCTCTGGTGATCCTGAAAAGTTCTTACAGCACAATGGATGGGTTTTAGAGTTAAAGAGAATTAGATTCAGGTTCTGGCTCAGGCATAGGAGGTCCATAAGACGTTGGACAAGTTATTTACCTTTTGTAATTCTCTGTAAAGTTACCAGTAAGACCATCTAGAATATACTTGTAATTCACCCAGCAGCTGTAAAATTCTTGCTAAATTTAACTTTTATTTTGTCCCTCCTGCTAATATTTTCTTAAAAAATGTCGGTACAGGACCATTGGTCCTCTTTCAGCTCTAGCTCTCTAGTATCTATCCCTTGGTCTTCCCAAATGTGGGAAAAAGATTAAGCCCATGTAGGTGAGAGCATCAGGAGGTGTTCTTCTCTCTCAGAAGGGCAGAATTGCTTTGATGGTAATTATAATTCAGGACCCTGATCTCATAAAACCATACCACATATCACCCAGCAATGTGAGCTGTTCATTTTGTAATCCTATAAAGCTGTGTTGTCTAGGTAGCTCACTTGCAACTGTGGAGAGCTAGGCTTCCATTCAGAGTTTGTTTAACAGAGCTAAGTCAAATCGCTGCTCCCATGTGCATTCAACTGAGATGTGTAATAACTTCCAGGGGCATTCTCTCTTTAGTGTGGTAGTCCCTGCACAACCTGACCTTGGACAGATGCCCTTCTCCTGGGTGGAAAGCTTCATGACAGGGTGGAAGTTGAATTTCAGCTTTGGGCAGGTATAACTTGTACTCCACTGTGAAGCATCTCTGTCCCTTCTCCAGGATTTTTTGGGAGCTGCAGAAATACAAAGAGCAGAATTGCTGACTGACAAAAGGATATTAGTACTAGAGCAGACTGTAGAGACCATCTAAGCCAATCTCTCCACAATAGATGAAGAAACAGATGAGTAATGTGATTTTCCAAGTGGTAGGCTTGGTATGCCCCTTGATTATTACACGCCTTCAGAGTATTTCAGACCTTGCTATTATATGTGGTATTAAAATAATAAGACATAGACAGGAATGGTAGAAAGTATAATGCAAGTGGGGTGCGGTAGTGCATATCTTTAAACCTAGTACCCAGGAGGCAGAGGCAGGCTGATCTCTGAGATTGAGGCAATCCTGGTCTATGTTGTGAGTTCCAGGTGAGTTAGGGCTACAGGTACCGTCTCAAAAAAGAACAAAAAAGTATAATTCAATGAGCACCTTTAATTCCTCCTCCCTGTGTAAGAAACATGCCATTATCAAATCCCTGATGCACCTACACACCTTCTCTGAGCACAACTCTCCTCTCCAGAGAGTGGACATTCTAGTGTCCTAAATTAGATATTTGTTATGCCCCTGAGCTCTTATTTCTTTGTTGCCATCATTCTTTGAAACTTTATTTTTTTAAAATTTATTTATGTGTATGTGTGCAAGCGTTCTCTCTCTCTCTCTCTCTCTCTCTCTCTCTCTCTCTCTCTCTCTCCGTGTTTGTGCACAGATACATGGGATACCCTGGAACTGGAGTTATAGGCAGTGGTGAGTCACCCAATGTAGGTGCTGAGAACTGAACTTGGGTCCTCTGGAAAAGCAGGAAGCATCTCTATAGTCCCACAGCATGATTATTTTTTATTTAATATTGTGTTTGCAAGATTTATTTATTTTACACAGAAACCTGTAGTGTTAGTTGATTCATTTTTACAACTGTTTGCTCATTTATATTATTAATGTGTCTCCCTCCCTCCCTCCCTTTTTTCCTTCCTCTCTTTTTTCTATTACGAACAATGTTGAAATGATTCTTTGTATACAAGCCTGCTGGTTTACCTAGGTGAGGCTTTCTTTGGTCTGAGTTGCTCAGTGTATTAGTCAATCAAGAGGCTATCAGCACTTGAAATATATCTGGCATGAATTGAGACATTTTAAAGATATAAAATAGATACTGGATTTCAGAAACTTGATAAAATCCATGTAGAAATAATTTTATGTATATTGTGTTGAAATAGCCTATAGTTATCTATTATATATAAATATGGAATTCATTGTTCATTTTTATTATAGTCATATGTTGAAATGACATCCTATGTATGCTAGATGAGATAAAATATATTAACTTTAATTTCACTTGTTTCTTTTATTCAATGCAAAATAGCTTTATTGAGATATAATTAATGTTTCATACAATTTGCCCATTTAAATTGTATAATTCAGTGGTTCTTAGCATGCTTACAGAGTTCTATAACCATTACAATCAAACTTAGAACTTTTTCATCACCCAAGAAAGAAACTCCATAACTGTCAGTGGTCATTCCCCATCCTTCCCCCACCCCTCTCCATTTATCACTTCTTCATCCCAAGGAAGCCACTCACCTATTTTCTGTTTGTCTGTACTAGAAATGCTTTTAAAAATATTCCTCCTTGGGAGACAGAAGATATAGGTGTCCTACTCAGGGATAAGTACTCTGCAGTCTCTTGTTCTCTGCACATTGGCCAGTTGTGGGTTTCTGTGTTAATCATCATCTGCTGCATAAGAAACTTCTTTGGTGAAAGCTGAGAGATGCATTAATCTATGGGTATAAAAATAAGCCATTAGGAGTCAGTTTAACTATTTACTAGAAAACTAGTGTTAGTTTCACCCTTCTGTCCTGAGGCCTGTTTGTCCTCAGGGTCCTATGCCTGATATCAGTATCAGGTTTGAGCTCCAGCCTATGAAGTGGACCTTAAATCCAAATAGACAGTAGTTGATTATTCCCATAATATTAATTCTACTATTGTATACCTTTCTAGGCCAGTTGCTATTGTAGTTCACAGGATTCACAGCTGTGTAAAGTTGATTTTTTTTTTTTGTTGTTGTTGTTCTGGTTGCATGGGCTCAGGCATAAATGTGGAATAAGGGGGCAGAAAAACTCTAAGAGCCAGAGGTCTGGCTAGAACTTGTAATCCTAATTACTCTTGCCTTTATTTCTCCTTCACATCTCCTATTCACATTTCAAGGACTTTCTTTTCCCCTTGGAGATAAGAGTTATGCAATTTGGGAGTCTTTTAGATAGACCCATTGAAGGGGTACTCCAATTGCCTCACCCTATGTCCCTGTTCAGCATCGAGGAAGCCAGAGTGATCTGTGTCCTGATTCCCTATTGGCAATTTGGGTAACCTCCTCAGAGGATGGTGTGTTAAGAATAGGAGGTAGGAATTGGCTGGGCATTTAGGGTAAAAAGACCCCAAAGAAAAGTAGCCAGTTTCTTGGCTAAAAGTCAAAGTGTCCTTGGGTCTCTTAGCAACATACTCTGTTCCAAAGGCCAAAAAATGTTGAAAGTATTTGGGAGCTTGTATCTAATCCTTAAAAGATTTTAAGGTTACCTCTCCAGAGGGGGCAATGTTAGAGTTGCCAAAAGCCCCATAAAAATAAATAAATCAAAGAAGAAGAAAGAGTACATGAAGTTATCAGAAAAAAGTGATGGGGAGATATGGGAGGAGTTAGAGGGGAAGGAGTGGGCATGGATTTGATCAAAATACTTTATATAAGTGTATGAAATTCTCAATAAATTATTTATTTTAACAAAAAGAAAGTGGAAAAGAGACTATGGGGTGGGGGGATGGTCCAAGGAGGGGTCAGGGGAATGGGGGAGGAGAACCAACAAAAACAAACTTTGTATGAAAATGCCATAAGGAAATCTAATACTGTATATGTTAATTAAAAAAAAAAGAGCCAGAGGTGGTGGATGACCACAAGGAAATAGAGTTTTTCGGACAGCTGGTCGGTTGCTCATATGAACTCACACAATGGTGACAGCATGCACAAATCTCACATAAGCTCAAGCCAGTCAAAAAATCCCAGCATAGATGTGGGTATGTGATTAAGAAAACTCCAACCTAACCTAAAGAACTATTGGCAGTCAATGACTGCTGAGATAGGGTGTCAGACTCTTTCAAGGATGTGACCCTTGGTACATTCACCAAGTTCCAGTAGACAGACCCACAGTGAAGGACATTTGGAGACACAAATTAGACTCTATAGATCATATATATATATATGATCTATAGATCTATCTATCTATATATGTTTGAGTACATTAAATTGGGTAGGGAAAGAAGGGAGGGTGAAGATGGGGGGATCTAAATACCATCAAATTATATTGCATGAAAATCATAAAAATTCAATAAAAATTAAAAAAATTCCTCTCTGACTATAATTACATGTCTTTTTACCCACATTTTCCCCTTGATGTCTGTCCTATCTACCTCACCTCTGGCAAACAGACTTTCACTCTCTTTCTTCTGAGACCAACACTTAGGTTGCTTATGTGAGTCAGCCATGTGGAATGTGCTTTTCTGTACTTGGCTTGTTTTATGCCACATAGTATTTTCCAGGTTCTTTCATGTTGCCCCAAAGGGCAAAATATTATTCTTTTTAAAAATCTCTGAATACCGTTCAATTGTGTGTGTGTTTCCTGATTCAGTCATTTGCTTTTTCCCTTTCAAAACAGTTACAAGGGAGTTTGTCGGGCTCACATTTGTGGCTTTCAATATATTTCTGTGTAAATCTGAAAAGGAAGGTGTAGAATTATGCAGTTTTATTAACTATTTGCCTGATTGTTTGCTAAAGAGATTGTGCCAATACTTATTACTCACAATATCGATTATAGGTTCATTTTATAAGTTGTCCAGAGAGGGTGAGACCCAAAAATCTCAATGATCTTAGTCATCTATAAATGCATATATCTACTTTTTGTATCTATTAGTGATCATGTGACTTTTTCTCCCTCTCTTATTAGAATTAGTTACATTAATAACTTCTAATGGTAAATCTCTTATTTGTGGGACAATATACCAAGTCATGATATTTTTAAATTATGCATTCATATGTGATTTACTAATATTTGTTAGTTTTGAAATTTCTGTAAAAGGCCAGATGTTGTGGTGCACACCTCTAATAATCACAGCGCTTGGGAGGCAGGTGGATCTCTAAGACTGAGGCCAATCTGGTTTACATAGCAAGTTTCAGACCAGCTTGGGCTATAGAGAGAGCTTGTCCCCAAAACAAAACAAAACAAAAGTGCTATAAATAATATCACTAATACTTTTTTTCTTGAATATTCTTGTTCAATTTCAGTATCAAAAAAACACTAGACTCTTTATATGAGTTGGGGCTTATTACACATTTAAAAACATTGTGCAAGAGTTTTATAATTTAAAGACTCACCTAATTTATTGGGTAGAATTTGGATTAAAACTCTCATGGTCTGGTCATTTGTTTCTTTCTTTTTTGTATGACTTAGATTTTTAGTTACTCAGTGGATTTCTTTTCTCATTTCTGTTTGTACTTAACTTATATTTTCTTTATAGTTGCCACTAGAATTACACAAAGCATCTTAACCTTATAACACTCCATTATTTGAGAATGAATCATTTAACTTCAATTATGTATAACACTATGCTTGTACATCTGTCCTCTCCTCCTTTATGGTATTATGACACAATTGCTTCTTTTTATATCACATATTCATTAATATAGATGCATAATTACATTTTTATGCTTAAAATTGCTTGCCAGATTTAAAAGTTATTTATGCACCTAAATTACAATAGTATAGGATTCTATATTTCTCTGTATATTTACTTTTACAGGACAGTTTTGTATTTTCATGTGGTTTTATATTGCTGCATATCAGCTTTTCATTTAAACTGAGAGGTTCCATTTGACATTTCTTGTCAGGCAATACTAGTAGTGGTAAAGCTTTTGTTCATCTGAGAAAGACAATTTCTTTTTTGTTTTGAGGGTCAGTTTTACTGGATAAAATATTTTTGGTTGGTGTTTTAATTCTTTCTTTATTTTTTCAATGCTTATTGATTATTTATTTTAGGAGCTTTAGTTGATTGTTAAGCCAAACTAAAAACTGTGGATAATCACTTGCTCATTAAATACACACACACACACACACACACACACACACATTTACGCATGATAACTAAAAATGTCAGTATCTGAGTTCTTTGTGGCTCTATTAGGGCTGCTTACTATTTTTTTCTGATTTTTATCTTGTTTGTTCATGCTTTATAATTTTGGAATATGAGCTCCTATTTGATTGATAATCTGTGGGAGTACAGTAAGACCTGTGATATAGTTACTTTTGTAATGAAGTTTTTTTTCTTCTGGAATAAGATATTGGAATGTTATCAACTCAGGGCCATCTTAGTTTCTTAGTTTCTTAGTTTGGGCTACATAGGTCTTATAAACGAAAGCCCCAAACTTGTTTGATAACTGGCAGGCCTTTCCTCCCTTCCCTCATTTTTGATCAGTCTAGTCACAACTGGCTCACTGGGAAAATATGCTTACACTAAACCCTTTGTCCCCAAAGGCTGCAATGTATTAACCTGTTCACGGTATGTCCCAATCAACCCAAGCAGTCAAAAAAATTATTAGCCATTTATTTTGTTTATTTATTTTTAATGTATAAATTTATTGAATTTTGTGCATTTCATATAATAAAACATCTTAATCATCTTTATACCCCCTCCGCCATCCATACCCCCCATATTCCTCCCATCAGCGTTCATGCATTCTGTTGTATATATTAAGGCCTTTCAAGTCAAGTTAGTGTACCTAGATGTCCCTCAGTGCAAGTTCATTCACTGGGATTTAGTCAGCCATTCTAGAGTCAATCCCTTAAAGAAGATCAACTCTCTCTCATCTGGCAGTAATGAGCTGCTACTAGTTCTTCGGCTAAGGTTGGGGCCTGCTGCCCATTTCCCCAGATCCATGCTGGGATTTTGTCTGATTGAGTTTGCATGGGTCTTGTGCATGCTGGCACCATTGCTGTAGGTTCATATGAGCAAGGTTCCAGGACCCTGAAAGATTCTGTTTCCATCTGGTCATGCAACTCTTCCCCAGTCTCTTACAATCTTTCTACCCCCTTTTCTGACCAACAACTAGAAGGGAAATTTCTCCTGTCTGACACTGTTTCTAGTTGTATAGCCTTCAGCTACACATATGGACTCATGTAGAAATACCATATGCCTGATTTTTCAGTAGGCTTTTGAACTAATATATTTCCCTCTGTTTTTTCATGAGAGCTAAGCATTAATTATATCTTCTCTCTTTCTCCTTGTCTAGCCCTCCTTCCTCCTTCCCCAGCTAAAGTACCCCCCATTTTCCCCATTTCACCCTTGATAATACCTGTCTCCTATGATCCTCCCTCTTTCGAGCGCCTTCTTCTCCTTTACCTCCATAGTTCCTTGTATAACCTTCCCCCTTCTCTTCTGAGTTAAATACTCCCATTTTACCATTTGATTGCTAGCCATTTAAGGGCTCATAGCATCAAAAAGGCAGCCAAAAGTCAAATTTAGCTGCATAGATTTTGCTAGAACAGTGCAGATTTATACTTTCAACTTAAATACCTTCAGATGTTTCTTAATTATTCACAAAATTGGCTGTCAATTATTTTCCAGATACTTCTGTAGGCACTGGGGGAACCAATGATGAAAACCACATACAAAACAAAGAATTAAACAAATCCATAGGCATCATGTTCTGCAGGAAGATGGTTTTTCTATTCTCATGTGGAATCAGGAATAGACTATTTCAAAACTCAAACGCCTCTCCCTGCATTTATGTGAATCCGAACAATCAAACTCCAGTCAACAGGCAATATTCTCCTCTGTTCCAAGGGTTTTGAATTTCCCATGGAATACTTCTCAGACCCTAGTGAAAAAACTGATGGATGCTATAGAAAATAACCAGAACTTTCTCTTTTTTTCCTGAAACAGTGACAAATTTCATTTCAGTCTAATTTGTAGCTCTGATAAATACTTATTCCATCAAGAGTCATTTTTATTATATATTATTTATAACAGAAATAGCCAAATGTTAGTGGAGAAGAATTATCTGGAGAGCCACCTATATTTCTCAAGTGTTTAGAGCCTTGTGGTTAGATAAAAGCAAATGTATGAAACACTTAGTGAGCAATTATATTTGAGATCAAAAGGCAAACTGAATCAGAAAAGAAAGGCCTGTGATGTTGAGCTGTGGCGAAGGCTTCTCTGAGGAGCTGAGTGACTTGCCTTACATAATGATGATTCATGTAAAGACATGCAGGGACCAACAAATTACTATATTCTACGCTCAGGGTTGTCCACCTGAGGTAAAGACCTAGTTATTTCCTCTTAGAAGAGAATCTAGGCTCCCTTTTGTCATGATAACCCATTGAGTTTTTGTCTTGATTTTGAAGATTGAGAAGACAGAAGAGATACATCACCAATTCCAAAGGTTTTTGACTGAAATAAGCAAACTCCCAAATGATTATGAAGTGAACATAGCCAACAGGCTGTTTGGAGAAAAAACATACCTCTTCCTTCAAGTAAGTTTTGCTGTTTCTGCCATATCTGAGTGGTAATATTAAATGGCCAAACACCTTTGTTAGAACAGAGTCCTGGGGCCGTGCTGCTTGTGTTGGCTGCCTGCCTGAGACCATTTTACTAGTGGTCTTTCTGGCCTCCTCTTAAATATGCAGTTTCTTTTTAGTGCTGGCAGCCTATGCCTGATTTTTGCTTTAGTCCCATTGTACCTGCATAAAAATGTAGATGAAAGCACTGAAAATTGTTTAGTGAGAACCTGAAAATTTCAGTTTTGACATTAGCTGCCCTAATGAACAGATAGATACATTTATTTAGAGATGTTTGCAATTGATAAATGAACTGTTCAATCTCTATTTCTTTCCTATCTCTCCTAAAGAAATACATTGATTATGTTGAAAAATATTACCATGCATCTCTGGAGCCTGTTGATTTTATAAATGCAGCAGATGAAAGTCGAAAGAAGATTAATTCCTGGGTTGAAAGCCAAATAAATGGTAGGGTATGGGTGGGTTTTTCATTATGAAGCACTTCTTGACCATCTGCTGAGTGAAGCCTTGGGCTTGACACTGCATAGATGCTTTGGGAGATGCTTGAGATGGGTTTGGCAGAACCGTAAGGCAGGATGGGCATAAAGGGTGAGAGAGGGCACTGCAGAGTGGAGTGGCCATATCAAATAAGGTGAGATCCAGGAGGAACCAGGAAGGTGACCACCAGAAGTCAAATGCATGGAGAAACTTAGAGAATTGCTTGCACATGCTATTGATAACATTGTCTTTGGGGTTCTTGAACTGGGTTCATGCTTGTCTTCAGTTTATTTATTTATTTATTTATTATTTATTTATTTGGTCTTTTTGAGACGGGGTCTCCCTGTAGCCCCAGCTGTCCTGGAACTTACTAGACCAGGCTGGCTTTGAACTCAGAGATCCGCCTGTCTCTGCCTCCCGAGTGCTGGGATTAAAGGCATGCGCCACCATTCCCGGCTGTTTTTTTTTATATCATAGACTTTCTTTCTGAGTCTGGGTTCCTAGGCGGTCTGGTTCCTGGGTGACATAGAAAGTTTCCCTTCCCTTTGTTAAGTGAGAAACATATAGCTCTTCCACCAAACCTTACAGTTAGGGTCACCTGGGACTCTTCTCCACTTGAACATCTTGTAGGGATAATTAAACTTTCAGCTCCATACCCAAAAGAGGATTTGAGGAATCTCATCCCAGACTTTCCAGTCTCATAACCCTAGTATGAGCCAAACATACATGAAATACTGGAGAAGAATATTAAAATGGAAATACTCTTCTAGGAGCAGTAGGTGATAGATAACATTTTCTATTACTGTTATTAATGAGAACTCTCTTATGACAGAATGCATTTTATCCAAAGAAAGAAAATTAAAATAAGCATAAAACATGGGTCTATTGAAGGGCCGAACAGTATTTTTCAGTATTTAGTGTAGGATGTGCTAAATAAGAATCCAAAACACAAATTTCTAGGGCTGACGAGATGGTTGAGTGGTACAGTGCTTGCTATACAAGCATGAAGACTTGAGTTTAGATTACCAGAGCCTAGATAAAAGCTGAGCATAGGTGGTGTTTGTGTGTGTGTCTGCGCGTGCGTGCATGCATGTGTGTGTGTCTGTATGTATAGACCTATGAGTTGAGAATAGAGATATGTGGATCCTGGGAGCTAACTGGCCAGCTAGCCTACTTGAATTGGTGAACTTCAAGTTCAGTGATAGTCTCTGTCACAAAAAATTAAAAAGTGATAGAGTGACAGAGGAACACAACTTGATGTTGGCCTCTGATCTCCACATGCACATGCATGTACAGTTGAGCACACCCACATAAACATCCCCTTCCCCAGTACAGATTCTGTTTCCAATAAAATAAGTAATTGCCCAACCACAAGGAAAAACTATATAAAATAGATAAGCATTATAGCTAAAGCTGAGTGTTTATGATGTGCTAGATATAATTTTAGGTTTACACATATTAGACCACTTATTCCTTTCAAGAGTCCTATGAGGCATGTTATATTTCTATTTTATGGATGTGGAACTGAGGCACAGAGAGCTTAAACAACTTGTCCCAATGCATCAGTGGTAAGACAAACAGGGTGCTAACAGAGGCAATGTAAGAAACTTCCCATTGACTCTGACGGCAATGCCTTGGTTAACAAGGCCCTTGGGCTGCTGACCTTGCTGAGATGTTAGTAATTATCCAAGTCCATCTGCATTCATATTTCACTATACGTAAAATGATTTGTTATTTGCAAGATAAATGAACCATTTCCATTCTTTTGCTTTCAGAAAAAATCAAGGACTTGTTTCCAGAAGGCTCTCTTAGTAGTAACACCAAGCTGGTACTGATAAATACAGTTTATTTTAAAGGACAGTGGGACATGGAGTTTAATAAAGAACATACCAAGAAGGAGGAATTCTGGCTGAATAAGGTTGGCCCTTTATGCATATGGTCTGCTTATATTTGGCATGTATAATCTAAAGTCACTTGAACAAAATATACTCTGGTGGTCAGCAAATGTTCGGTTAGTGACTCAGATCTTTAGCACTCTTTGAGCTTGAACTAATTATTTCAGTGGGCTACTTGGGTGCCACATGCTTTTGGTCTTGTGTCTGACAATGAGTGCTCTGTTCATTTGTTGCAGAGCACAAGTAAGCCTGTGCAAATGATGGCCCAGTGCAGCAACTTTCCCTTCTTACTCCTGGAGGACATGCAGGCCAAAATTGTGGGAATTCCATACAAAAACAGTGATCTCAGCATGTTCGTCCTTCTGCCCAATGACATAGATGGTCTGGAGAAGGTAAAGCTTGGCATCTCCCTGGCTTGCTTTCATTTCCTAAGACTTTCACAACTGTACCCAGTGAGCCTGGAAACAGGGCTTCTGAATAGAAGCTGGCTGTCACCTAGAAAGCAGCTATAGATTCATGTCTAGTGAGGATTATTAAATGGTATTGGACTTGTTGGGAATAATTAATATGCAAATAATGTGAGACGAGATAAAATGAACATTCAAAATAGTATGGGGGTTCTAATGATTCTCCACTATTCTGAGAAATCATGGATAGCTATGAATTCATTCCCTAGAAAAAATCATGTATGAATATGTGCAGAAAAAAATGTGCTTACAATTTAGCAGGCCTTTGAGTTTGAATTTATTTCTTACCCTTAGTCTTGATTTAGATGCATACCCTTTATAGTTAAAACATTAATGTGGCTACTGTTTTGTATTCTGGAAATCTGGAAGGCTTTACAACAAATTCGTGTTCTTTAAGTTGTTTTCTAATCATGAATCTTCTCAGCTTCCTTAAACTTTAATATTCTCATCTATAAATTGGCCTTCATTATACTTAATATCTAGCATTGTCATATGATTAGGGAAATGCAGCCTAGCATATGTAGAGGACACAGAAAACACTCAGGAAATTTGATCTATGCTGTGAAATTTTGTCAGCAGCATTGTAAGTTGGAAAATATTTTGAAACAATGTGAAATATATACTAGAGCTTTAACAGTTTATATACAAAAATCTTTTGTGTTTAGAGCCTGGGGATCATTCTAAAGATCACTAATAAAGAAATTAATTCTGAAGAGAGAAATTGGCTTCTCTGGTCAAATCATTAATTTTGACTTTGAATGCAGTAGGATAGCTGGCTTGAAATCCACAGTAATTGCTTTGTTTTGTATCTGCTTGTTATACACTAGATGAATGAATAATGTCAGCTAACACCAACTTGATAGAAATATCTTTTCAAAAACTTTGTCTCAGGACTTCTTTAAAAATATTTGTTTATTTTTAATTTTATTGTAACATCTATGTGTTTGCCTGAATGTATATATGTTTATGATGTGCATGCCTGGTGTCCTTAGATGGTTGTGAACTGCCCTGTGGGTACTGAGAACAGAACATAGGCTCTTTGCAAGAGCAGGAAGTGTTTTTAACCTCTGAGTCATCTTTCCAGACCCTTAATAGAAATATTATCTAGCAGTTTATGAGAGATATGCAGTAGTATAAAAAAGTTATATGTATAAAATAAATATAATAAAATATATCATAGATATTATATCACATTATATCAATCATATCTATTATATATGCTATATACAATAGTTATAAAAAGTTACATATATAACAGATATAATGTATCTATTATATAGATCTATGTATCTATACATAGGTCTATATATCTAATGTATCTATACAAAGAAGAGGGCATTAGCAACAATTGAAATATACATTAGAGTTTTAAAAAATAAAAAAAAATTTACTTATTATTTTTATTTTATGTGTATGCATGTATTGCCTGCATGTAAGTAAGTGCACCCCTGTTATGCAATGCCCGCAGAGGACAGAAGAGGCTGTCAGATCTCCTGGAACTGGAGTTACCGACAGTTGTTAGCTGCCATGTGGGTGCTGGGATTCGAACCTGGGTCTTCTGCAAGAACAGTCAGTGTTCTTAACCAGTGAGCCATCTCTCCAGCTCTCCATTAGAGTTTTAAAAAATTCATTTGATGCTATATACAGATAACTAGGAAAATACAATAGAGCAATGTAAGACAACTGCTTTTATATAGACAGATGTGCTGAAATGTAAATTTTGCACTTCTGATTGAATGAAATCAAGCGTTGGATTTTTAAAATGTTTTTGAGACTCGTGCCAGTTGGCCTTCCTTTTTCACACTATAGATTATTGATAAACTATCTCCTGAGAAGTTGGTAGAGTGGACCAGCCCTGGGCACATGGAGGAGAGGAAGGTGGACCTCCGTTTCCCCCGCTTTCATGTGGAAGAGAGCTACGACCTTCAGCCAGTGCTGGTGGACTTGGGAATGCGCGATGTCTTCAGTGAGCGTGCAGACTACTCGGGGATGTCTGCACGTTCGGGGCTGCACGCCCAGAAGTTCCTGCACAGGTCCTTCCTGGTGGTGACTGAGGAAGGCGCCGAGGCTGCTGCTGCCACTGGTGTGGGCTTCACGGTCTCATCAACCCCTGGCTGTGAACTTGTGCTCTGTAACCACCCTTTCCTGTTCTTCATCAGGCACAGTGAGTCCAACAGCATCCTCTTTTTTGGCAAATTTTCTTCTCCCTGAGACAGTCAAGGCTAGGACGATTCCACTTATAAAAATCAGCAAGCAGCACCTGGAGTTCACGCGGTCATGGAAATCGTACGTGTGCTTAAATTTCGTTTTCCTTGTTTGCGCTGCAACCCTAGCATTAACCCGTTGGCGTAATGGTGGTAATAGCACATTTCGGTATTTGTCCTTGAAAGAGAACTGTTCTTTCATTTGTGCCATGCCTAAGGCAAGTCAAGCGAAGCTCAATTCTTCCCCTGATTTTCTTTGAAAGTATCAGTGTCTGGAACATTTTTGTGCGTTACGGGAGAAATGCTGTCTTTGATAAAAAGGATAGATTCTTTCCGGGAACTTTTGGGGATCCCTCCAGTTCCAGTGTTTGGAAATTCACAAGTAAAATAAAACAACAATTTACTCATGTGTTTCTTTCTTCCTTTCCCAGTAGAAATTGGACAACCTGTACAAGGCAAGGATCCCCATGGCCAGGATTGTAACATATTGGTATGAGAAGGAAGTATGATAACTGGGAAAATAAATGTGCCTGATCAAGGCTGCTACCTTGTCATCCTTTAGGTTCTGGAAGGCAAGCATTTGTAAGAATTTTAGAAGAGCAACTCTTTTCGTTTTTATTCTCAGGTGAGGTATGGATACTGTCAATGACATTTTCCTAAAGATGCTTTTTGAAAAGCTCTTCATCTATTGCTGATCCTCCACATTTTGAACAGAATTTCGTTTGATTAGCTTTTAGTAAGATCACACTTGTTGAGCAATAATTTACATAAAACTCATACCTTGAAAATTATGAATTCATTGCTTTTTGGTAAATTTTTGGTGTTGCAAATCTAACATCACAATCCAATTTTAGAACATTCTATTATCTGGAGAGATAGCTCAGTGGTGAAGAGCATCTCCATTACCCTCAGAAGTTTCTTCATAGCCGTCCTTACCTCAAACCCTAGGGAATCACTCGTTTGTTCTTTGTGATTTTTTGTGTTCTGCATCTCATCTAAGAGTCATACAGCAGAATAGTATTCCGTGCCTGACTTCTTCCAGCTGGCAGAATGCTTTTGGTCCATACTTTTGTAGCATGTGCTGATTGCTAATCTCTCTTTATTTCTGACTCTATTCCGCTTCATGGAAAAGATGAATTTTGTTTATCCATTCACCAGCTAATGGACAATTTGATTATTTTCACTTTTTGGCTGTTATGAATAACGCTACTATGAAATTTACGTGAAATGTTTGTGTGGACACGTGCTGTCATTATCTTGAGTAGATTTGTAGAGTGGCATTGTTAGGTCTTAGTTAGGTCTTAAGTTGCTTGAGTTTTGATAAACTGTCAGTCTGCTTTTCAATGTATCTGTTTCATTTTATATTCCAACTAGTGAAGTACAAAGGTCCCAATTATTTCTTCACATCCTTGCTGACATCAGTGTTGTGTATTTATAACTGGAATTTTCCTGGCATGTATGAAGTATCCCACAGTGGTTTTTAGCTTGCATTTTCCTAATGATTAAGTTAAGCATTTTCATATACATATTGACTATTATATGATTTCTTTGCTGAAATGTATATTTAAATCATTTAGTCATTTTAAAATGGGGAAGTTTACCTTCTTATCTTATGGAGTTGAAAGACTTCTTATACTTTGATAATAAATCAGTATCCAAATATGTGATAGATGAAATATTTCTTCAGATTCTATGGTTCTTTTTAATTTTATAAATGTCTGTGAAAAAACATACAGTAGTTCAGAAATATATGTCAATATAAAATTTCCATAAAGTGCACAATTCTGTTGTGTACATATGTTCACCATCTAATTTTAGATCATTTCTATACTCCAGAAAGAAGACCCAAGCCCATTAATAGTCACTTCCCATTCCTTTGCCCATGAACACATGGAAATCATTATTCTATGTCTGTTCTATGGAATTCTATTCTGGATCTGTATTATAAATGACATTGTATAATATATGACCTTTTGTCATTTGATTCATTCACTTACCATGTTTTTAAGATCCACCCAAGTTCTAATGCACATCAGTCCTGCATTCTTTATTATGGTTAATATTTCATTATATAGATATATCAGATTTTGTTTATCCATTCATCAGTTGATAAACATTTGTGTTTGACTTATTAACTGTTATGAGTAATACTGCTAAGAACATATAAGTCACTTCATGAACATATATTTCCATTTCTCTTGGGTATATACTATGTCATATGGTATTTTATGTTTATTATTGTGAGGATCTGCTAAATTATCTTCTAAAGCAGCTGCAAAAATTCTTTTACAATCCTGCAATAATGTATAAAAGACTTAATTCTTTCATATTTTTGTCAATACTTCTTATGATCTGGTTAGAGAGATGGCTCAGCAGTTAAGAGCACTGGCTGTTCTTGCAGAGGACCCGTGTTTGATTCCCAACACCTTCATGGTGGCTAACCACCATCTGTAACTCCAGTTCTGGGGAAATCCAGCACCTTCTTCTGACCTTCATGGATACTGCGCAACACAGGTGCACTTGTACACATATAGGCAATACACTCATACACTAAAATAAAAATAATAAATAAAATTAAAACAATACTTATTGTAATCTTTAAATATTCTTTTTGAGACGGGGTCTCCCTGTGGCCCTGGTCTGTAACTCCCTATGTAGACCAGGCTGGTCTCTGTCTTAGGAGATCTACCTGCCTCTGCTTCCCGAGTGCTTGGATTAAAGGCACGTACCCCCATGGCCAGCCTTATAATCTTTAAATAAAAAAAAATCTATTCTAATCTATTCTAGAGAGTGTGAAGTAGAATCCCAGTGTAGTTTCATGGCATCTTCTGAAGTGCAACCAGACATCAGCTCATTAGTATTATTAGGATCCGATTTTTGGTATCACATCTGAGTCCTCTTTCCACAACCAAAAAGCCAAATAGTTCCTCTTCCTTTGTTCTAGAGGTTTTAGAGTTTCAGCTCTTCCAGTTAGGCCCATAGTGCATTCTCAGTTTGTGCATGTGTGCTGTGGAGCTGGGGTTATGGTCTCAAGTCATTGAGACAAGGTCTCCCTATGGCCCTAGCTGGTCTGTAACTCTCTATGTAGACCAGGTTGGCCTCTATCTTAGGAGGCCAAATAAAATTTCTAAAATTATGAAGTGCTTTTGCTTGTTTGATCAAGATGATCATGTGGTTTTTATTTTTCTCTGCTAATATGTACACTGGCTGTTAAATAAACCACACATTTCTGGGGTAAATACTACTTTGCCATGGTGTATAGTCTTTTCTGCATGTTGCAGGATTCAGTTTAGTAATGTTATATATTAGTGGTTTTTGCATATATGTTTGTAAGGGAAGTTTCCCACTTTCATAAGGTCCTGAATAATTGGGACCAAGCATCTTTTCAGGGTTAAGATGAGAAGACAAAACCAGCTCTGCTACTTCCACCATTCACATGGCCACCCCTTCTTAGCCTAGTAAAAAAGGCAGGGAAGAAAAAGAGGGGGTGATTCATCTGAGTTATTAGTAATCAGCCTTTGTGAAACGTAGTGACTCAAAATGTAATAGGGATGGGCCAGCAAGTAAACAAATATAATAGGAGTGCTGATAACTAAAGTTGCCATCCAGAACTTTGATCAGTGCCCCCCCCCCCAGCTACAAGATAAGATAAGGGGTCTCTTGACTCTACATAGTCTTAACTAGATGGTTGAGATTTCTTTTCTTGGATCTTCAACTATCTTCAATGGATCTGAGCTTCTCTGTAAGTGGTGGAAAGGTGATATTGAGAAAACCCTAGTAACAGTTGGGCAGCATACTATTTGATAAAAGCAGAAGTGCTTCAGGTTAAGCCCTTCCTGGGTATCAGTTCTAATATGATTGTTAATCATAGCACCAAAGGCTCTCAATCGTGGCCATTTCACACAGGAACCTAAAGAGATGGGAATGGGGCCTGGGACTTCATGTAAACATTAAATAGAAGTTTTCTTTCCTTGAGGGTCACTAGGTGTAATAAAATAATATAGATATTGGCTAAAGCCAGATACAATTTTTCTCATTATGTGAGAAGCTTGCCTTTATACAGTGGAAAAGACCACTACTAAGAAATAGAGCCAAGAAATGTTTCTCTCTCTCTCTCTCTCTCTCTCTCTCTCTCTCTCTCTCTCTCTCTCCCCCCTCACCCCCTACCAGGCACATATATACACAGAGACAGAGAGAGAGACATACACTGAGACCTTACATTGTGTTTCATAGTTCCGCTTAACAGCAATTTCTTTTAGTTAGTTAGACTAGTTTAAGCTGGACTTGGTTATGGATAAAGAAAGAGCCCTGAGGATTATACTCTCTCCTTGGATGAAACTTAATAGCAAGAAAGTTAGGTCAAGTGTTTCTGGGAGGTGGCTGAAGTACTAGTTGCTTTGAGGAATAAACTGAAAACATTTTGTTTGGTTTAGAAATTAATGGCACCAAATGGTACAACAAACATATTTTTAGAGAATAGAAATCTTAGTTTACATTTTTTGGTAAGTAGAAAATCATCTATTACTAAAGGGAGAATAAAAGAAAAAAAAACACCTCAGAATTAAACCATAAACATTTGTAATTTAAGTGGTGTTTTTCAAGTGAATCTCTTGCTTCTTGCTTCCATTTGAAGCAATCTGAATTGGATACTTTACATCTGCTTTAAAGTAATTAGGTTTGGTAACAGTTCCGTGCACATGATCTGCCTTTATGGATAATAATATTTATAAGCAAACAAACTCATCAGAATGAATTCAAAGCTTCAGACACAGAGTTAAAAAGACTCAAGATGCCTAAGAATCAAGTATTATTTTTTTACATGTCAGGTTAGAGTAATGCGTTTTGGCTTCAATGATGGTGATGAATCATATTTGGAGAAGTATTTGGGTCAAATGTAAACGACTGCCCATGTTGCATTCTTTGCAAGTTATCTGCTTCTGAGAATAGGGCAATGTGTTGAAGGAAAGGGTGGCTGTGGAATAGGTGGATTATGACTGAGAGATTGGA